ACACTCTATAATTGTAAGAAGTTTATTTTATTAACTCTTCCATCTTATAATTAATTTCTCATTGACAAAACAGATTTGCACAATTATAATACAATATAAAAAGTATAAACATATATCATTTTACAATTCTAAAAGCTTTAATAAAACACTTTTAGACACAAATTTATAACTTTTATAATATTTTAATATAATTTTTTCACCTGTTCGACTTCATTAACATACTGTATATTAATAAGTTTGATTTTGATCTTTACAGACACTCTTTTATGTCAAATGTCCCACAACTTAAACAAAAATTTTACTTATTAATGCTCCTGACTACTCAGCCAAGAACTCTGCGTTGACGGTGGCGACACAGAGTCAGACGGCAGTCTGACGAAACCGATACATATTAAGCCCATATCCGTGTGCTCGCCTGCGGCGTGCCGAGAGTAAACAAGACAGAGAGCTCCTTCTCACACTTCACTTGTTTCAAGCAACAAAAATGTTTTCTCGGCCGCTTGGCGGGCCTAGGCATCAATAAGGGGCGAAGGGGCATTCTAAATAACATATCAAGTTTTAATAAATTGTAGTAATAATGTACCCCTCCAATTAATCCAGAATAGTATAAATTATGTTAAAACGCGATAGTTTACGAAATATTTAATTGTTTACAATTTTTCATGCGCGTTGTATAATATACCTCTCCTTTATAAACTCGAGTGGCAAGAATAGTTCAGTAGAAATAGAATTTTAAACCAGCATTTTTCTTCACGAAAGTCTCGAAAGGCCATCAAAACAAAAATGCGTATGTTTGAGACTCGAGACTTGTGAAAAAAATGCGTGAAAAAAATCGAATAATTGCAAAAAGCACGTTTTTCGCTTATAAAACGAAAGATATTTATTGTAATATAAAAAAAATTCGGTATAAAATATGTAGATATTCGAAATACCTACAAAATGAGACGTGGAACATTAAAATCAATTTATTAGTTCAGTAGAAAAAAAAATAGAAAATACCGAAAAAGACCTTTTTTTACTCTTTGTTCATTGAGATTTAAACGCAGTTTTGAAATTGTCGTAAAATGTAACCTTCGTAATGACAAACAAATTTAGCCCTGAACAAGCTTGAAATGTTCATTAGTTTTTGCAAAAAGCCGTTTGTTCACTAAAATCCTGTCTGCGGAAAATTTAATTTCTTTGAGCAGTCGCACAGCAATTTACAGGGGTGATTTTTCTTCTTCAAGAATTGCACTATCACGTACACTTAATAACAAAACGATTTTTTACAGTCAAATTATTATAAAATATTTTTAAAAAGTGAATATTTTTTTCCAAATAATAAAATGAAAATAATTTCGTTAATATGAATCATATATCATATAGCCGTGTGAAGCATTCGAAATCTGACATTTTTCTACAAATTTAAAAAAAAAGATTACTCTTCGATTATTAAGAGCCAAGATAAGAATTTTTTTCAAAAAATTACTGTGACTAGGTTTTAAAATTAAGAATTCCGTCTGGCACCAATTTATCAAGGAAGAATTGAATTTGCGGTTAAAAAAATCTCGAATTATAATCTCTCATGAAACTTTTAGTTTAGAAAATTTTTTCTTTCTTAAATTTTTATTTTTTTGGTTTACTACTAAAAAATTATTTAAGTATGGAACGCATGTCTGATTAAATTTAAGTCACATTAGCTATGTTCCTTTAAATAATATGCTTTTGTTATATCTTTAACAGTTACGCTAACATTTGGCAAATTACTTATTATTATTATTTGTTTACATATGTCATATTTACATCTGCAATTAAATTAACAAAAGCAATTTTGTACTGATAATTCCGTTACATTTGTAGTTGGATTTGTAGCTAATATGACTTAAATTTCTTAATCAGACATGCACTCCATACTTAAATGTGATTTTTTAATAATAAACCGGAAAAATAAAAATTCAAGAAACAAAAAACTAAAAATTTCAATTACAATAACAATGATTACAATTATTTTGCACATTTGGTTGAGCTATTTGTTTATATCTCGTCGAGCTACCTCTGATTAAAAAGTCAGGTTTCCACATTCAATTTATTGCTGAGAAAATGTATATTTAGCAAATTTTAACGCTAATGAAATCAAATACGCGCGAATCGCTAAGCGAATCGATGTTCTCCACTCGATTGCACGCCAGCTTCCTTCACTCCGCTCGGCGCACTGCCTCGCTCGTGTTCTTCAACTTTCCAATGGTTTAAACAAACTTTTTCGGCAGCAAAAAATTCGAGAATTTTTCAACAATAAATTCAGTTCTTCCTTGACAAATTGGTGCCAGACAGAACTCATAATCTTAAAAACTAGAACCACAGTAATTTTTTGAAAAAAAAATTGTTATCTCGGCTCCTAATAATCAAAGAATAATCTTTTTTTTTTAAATTTGTAGAAAAATGTCAGATTTTGAATTACACGGCTTTACACGGCTATTTGATATAATTTTGACATATTAACAAAATTATTTCCATTTTTTTATACGGAAAAAGATACCCATTTTTATAATAGTTTAACTGCATAAAATCGTTTTGTTATTAAGTGCACGTAATAATGCAATTCTTGAAGAAGAAAAATCATCCCTGTAAATTGATATGCGACTGCTCAAAGATGAAAAAATTAAATTTTCCGCCAGACAGGGTTTTAGTGAACAAATGGCTTTTTACAAAAACTAATGAACATTTCAAGCTTGTTCAGGGATAGATTTGTTCGTCATTACGAAGGCTACATTTTACGAGAATTTCAAAGCTTTGCGTTTAAATCTCAATGAACAGTGTATTTTATTCGTTTCAAAAGTCGGATCGTGTGTTTCTGCCCGAATATAGACTCACTTTACGTGCCTTTTACGACCATTTACTGATTGTCAAGGGAGGAAAGGACAGTTTTCATTAATTTTTACAAATGTTTTAAAGAGATGTGATCTCGTTATTTCGTTTCATCTAATTTGTCTTTATTTAAAAATGGCACGCAACATAAATTAGCGTGTCATTCCTCGCTTCTGACGTCACGATTTTAACATGACCGCCGCGACTAGTCAGGAGCCTTAAACGAGAATATTAGATACGAAATTAAATTTAGCAAGAAATTATATTTTTTATATTTCTAATTCATTCGAAATGGGGCGTATATTATCAGATAATTTGAAAAAAACGTATTTATCTAGATTTAATTTAAAAGTAGATAACACTTTTATCTAAAGTGCAGATAAAGATAATGTACGGAGTGTATCCTACTAAAAACGCTAAAAGGTTTTAAAGAATGATGCCTTATACAAATTCAAGACGAAGACTATGCGATCATATTTTCAAAACGTCTTGGTTTTAAGATACAGGGTATCAAAGTTAAAGGAAAAATTTCGTTTTTTCTAAAAACTTTTTAAACCATTCAAATTATTTTGATAAGACTTTGTAAATATTTAAAGTTTTATCAAACTAACTCAAATAGTTTCCGAAATTTTTAGAGAAAAAGAAATAAATATTTTGACATTCTGTATCTTAGAAACTAATTATAAGTTGTTTTAAACGTGGTCATATAAAAGTTTTTGTCTTAAATTTGTTTGAAAAATTTCCACTTAAACTCTATTAGCGTATTTATTGTGAGTATGCCACTTCAGTAGATTATCCACTGATTTAGATTTAGAGAGTGTGTTTATCACACATAGGTTGTATACACGATGGATATTCTTTCCTACTCGTTTATTTTATCTTTATTTGAAGGATACACAAGCCACATTTCGCTTATTGTCGCAATTTAATGCAAAAATATAAATCATAAATTTATTAATTAAAACGACGCATTGGTCACATTTGCTGACATTTTGACCCGAGAGGAAAACGCTTTTTACGCGAATGACTGCTAGACGCATACTAACAGTTTGATTAAAAAGCTAGCATTTCTATTGAACTTCAGTTCAATAGGGAGGTTTTAGAATATAGTGTGACAGATGATGCTCGCGGGTCATTTTGACACCGTGAAGGGTTAAATGAAATTTTTTTATAAATATTTTTATTTTTTTTATTTTTCTACATATGTATGAGTAATATACGTAAGTGGAATAGAAATAACTTGGGTCTTGATTCCATTGGTAGGTTCCAATTTATTTCTAATTTTTCTATTTTATAATATATATATTGTAGTAAAACTTATAATACAATAAAATATTTTTAACTTTTCAAATTTCAATTCATTGAAAACGTATAATACAATAA